TGTGTGTGTGTGTGTGTGTGTGTGTGTGTGTGTGTGTGTGTGTGTGTAGGAATTGGGGTGGGGTGAAAGTAGACGTGTTTAGGTTCTTCCACATCTTTCAGCTATCCCGGCTCAGTAATTTATGCATTTCTTAATTTTTGCACCTGTAAAAGGAAGGCATCATCACTTACCTCTTTGTAATATCTTGTCTGAAAGATTCAGAATGAAAGATAGCAGGGGGTATGTGATAGCCACCATTTTACTTGTGTAAAGAAAACACTTGCATATGAGGACATGCATCCCAGAAGGGGAAGAGGAGGCAGAAAACACTAGAATTGGGCTCTTCTGAATCACAAATATTTGAACATGTGGCTTTGAAATAACAAACTTTGTCTTGCCTTCAAGGTTCAGAGACTTTTGTAAATGGACCCATTAAATATAAGCAAAGCACACACAGTATCAAATATTTTGCATAATTTTCCAATCTCTTCAGTTTTAGCCAATACACCTCCTACTATGAATAAATTTATCATCTGGAGCCAGAGCAGCAGGGAGCAGCTACATAAGGAGAAGATCAGCATCATAATATATGCTCTTGGAAGGGTTCTGCATGCTCCACATTTTTTTAGCCCCAGAAAGAACAAAGGGCTCAGGGGCAGCAGTAGAATAGAGAGAGGAAGAACCAGAATTAATAACATCATAACTAAGTTTTCATAGTAAGAAGTAACAGTTTTGCACGTTTCTCAATATGGTGGATTAAACACCCCCTCAATGACTAAGAGAAACCAATTTCAAAGACTGGGCCAGAAGGACTGGGTTCTGTGGCCACAGGTCCTCACCCTAAACCTGTGTTTGTGTGGCTACTGGTGTTTTAAGACATTTTTTGTCACTAAGTCTGACAGGAGGGTAAGATGGTGTTCCTCTTTGCCCCACTGCACTCATCAACTACCTAGCATCAACTTGTTGTGTGCCCTTAAGACCTGACCTTAATAGAGTAAATGAACCTGGTTTCTTTGCCTTCCACTTCAGGTTAAGTGTGCAAAATAAGAAGCACCAATAGGATTTCAGGACCAGTATCCCTGCTTTGGCTCAGGGTGTGATTGCTTCCTTCATGTGTTGGCACTGCAGCACCCATTCGATGGGCTTGTAACCACCTCTGCACAATTTTCTTATTCTATCTTATGCTTTGGTTCTCCTTAAGTTCTTGCCACTCTTTAGTACACTATGTAGTATACCTGTCAACACCTAACCTCACAGGGACCGTTCCTGAGCACTGCATTAGTATAGCGACTAAGGAGTATGACATACTTTTCGGTCCATATAAGTATTTGCTAATCTTTAAGGGTAGGACATTAATGGAAAAAAAGTAAAAAATGTTGATATCATTTATAAGCATTAAGATGGTACTTTCTAAGGAAACCTTGTACCTCCATCTTTCATACAAAATACATTGCTTAGTACATCTTCAATCTCTGCAACATGGATCTACAGGTAATGTAATGTCAAAGCTGTGAATGGGGATTCATTCCTAACAACTAAACAGTGAATGGGTGACCTTTGGTATAGAATCTGTGAGATGGACTCAGAACTACAAAGCTGTTTCCTTTCCTGATATGCCAGAACTGTGATGAGCTCACCGAATATAAAAGGAAAAAAAGTTAGACCAGGGTAGCCAGGGGGCTCTGATAGCAGCAGTCACAGTGTCTACATTCCAGGACAGCCCACACCTAGAGGAGAAGTATGCAGGGAGATGTCTAGAGGGAGAAGACTGCAATGGTCAGACAAAAGCTCTATGTCACCTGTGACATACATCACTGTCTGTCAATTCTAGAGTTTCTGAAGTTGCTTACAATGCACTTCCTGTTTATTTAGGTAACAGTATCGTGTAGGAGATCCTGCTGTATTTGTGTTGCTTTCATTGGTTAAATAAAGAAACTGCCTTGGCCTTTTGATAGGGCAGAACTTAGACGGGGAGGACAGAAATGAATTTTGGGAGGAAGAAGGCAGTGTGGCAGATGCCATGAAGCTCCTGCTTGAGATTGATGCTGGTTAGAATTTTTCCTGGTAAGCCACGACCTCATAGTGTTACAAAGATTGGTAGAAATGGGTTAGATCAGAATGTGAGAGTTGGCCAAAAAGAGGCTAGATATACTGGGCCAGACAGTAGTTTAATTAATACAATTTCTGTGTAGTTATTTCGGGTATAAGCTAGTTGGGTGGTGGGACACAGCCCGCTCCCTTCTACAACAATAGTATATCCCTCTGGAGTCTTTGATGGAGTTGAAGAATAGATAGTTATAGTTTTCCTTAGTTATAATAAAAATAAAGTATATATAAATATTGTAACTATAATTCTTGCTTGATAACTGTTTCTCACAATCACTTGGACAGATTTTTTAAAATACCCACATTCATTGATTTACTACCACAAACTCCTCACACACTGGATAAGGTGTCTGGATAGGCATTTTAGTATATAGTAATCTTTATGCCCAGTCAAGTTTGTGAATAATACACAAGACAGCGAGAATGTTCATTAGTAACAACATTAACATAGCTTCAAAGTGTTAGTTCATTTCCCTTATATTTCTGACTCCCTTGCAGTTTATAGCTCAGGAAGCCTTGAGGCTAAGTTCTGTCAAAAAGATCTAAAAAGAATTGAGGTATCTCAATGAAGAACTGTCTGGATTGTACTGGCCTATATGAATTCCTAAGAGGTTTTCTTAATAGAGATGGAAAGACCCATCCTGAATGCAGGAGACACCATTTCATGTACTGGGTGAAAAGGAGAAAGAACACAAGAACCATAAATTCTCTCTGCTTTTGACTGTGAATACATCTAACTATATCAAGTTCCTGCCACTTTGTTTTCTCCAGTTATAGACTGTGATCTGTGAGCCAAAGAAATACTCTCTCTTACAGTTGCTTTTGTCGGGGTAATTTTTTTTTTAAAACACAGCAACAGAAACAAAACAGAATAGACAACTTCTAGATACCTCCTACTAGGGCATGTTCCAATTAGACTTATTAGACTAGACAACCTAGATCCTCTCCTTTCCATTTCTTGTTTAAGTTCTCCTCTCTTGATATTAGATTTCTATACAAGTTCATCTTCATCTTCACCACTTAATAAGCCCTCCTGTCATGTGACATACAGATGGTACTACCAATATCATTAATAAATATATTCATGGAGCAGATGCTATAGCTTAAACTTAAAAAGAAGAGCTATGACTTCAGTGTGGATAAAGCTGAATATTATTTATTCTAAGAAACAGCATAAGAAAACCCAGCCAGTATCATCTGTACTTAGCTAAAAAGAATACTAATTACTTTAACTGAAAGCACACTAAGTGTCTTTGGCATTAGCCATTGCTTTAATGACCTCCAAAATTCCATAAAAATCAGCCTTAGATGTTCACTGCTGAGGCACCCATGAATTCCAAGAAGTTAAGCAAAGTGCTCAAGTATTCAAAGCAGAAACTACCACAGCTGAGTCCTTATTCACCCTTGCTGTTAACAAGCACCTGCCTAACTCACCTACACAGAAAGAACCAGAAGAAGCAGGAAATGAGTGTGTGTATGTGTGTGTGTGTGTGCGCACATGTGTGCGGGTGGGCATGGCCACATGCATGTTCTTGGTGCATATACACACATGTTAAAAAGGACGTTGAGTCTGAAAGCCACATTACGGAAAGATGGATAAGAATTGAAAGATTCCTTAGGTTCACTAAGAATGAAAGTACATTCCAGGAAGAAAATAGTACTGAGATATGAAACCTCAAAGAGTGGCTTTTGATAGGCAACAACACTCTAGGTCTGAATTGCAGAGACTGTTCATACACAGAAAAGAGAACGGGGGCCAAAGCAACTAACTACATAATGCAACTATAACTCTGGGTGAGCCATTCTACACTGTAAAGAACTGAGTTCACAGGATGAAAACGGGGTATGAAAACCTGAGCATTTCCTAATGAGACACAAAGAAACCAGAGACAGGTTGCATCCATTATGCTTCTGTGGAGTAGACCTTCTTATCCCTGTTTACCAAATGGAGAAACTGAGACACAATGAGATTAAAAGTCTTTGTGGCCATTCAGCAAAGTTTTATGATCAATCTAGTTTTGCACTGAATTAAGAAATCCACCTCTTTGCAGGGCCCTGATAATGTGTCCAGGACGCATTTGCAGGGAAAAGCAGTAACAGGGGCTCTGAGTAGCCACTTCTCCCAATGCCTGTACACCTCACCTCACACTTCTCCACAGCTGGCTGCTGTCCACACTCAGAGCTGTTGCCTGCCACGATGGCAGCCCGCAGGTTCTCACTGTCCCCGGTTCCCTCTTCCATGGAGTAGGTCTTGGAGTGATTCCCACGGCGTTGAGCAGGGCCCTGACCCTGGACCAGGCTGAGCTGCCTGCGCAGAGAACGGTTTTCCTCCTCCACCTCTCGGACACGAACCTCCAGGCTCTCCCGCTCCCGCTGGCTGGAGGCAGTGTACCTGGGACTGTGGGCTTGGGACTCCAGGGGAGACAGAGACACCGGCTTCCCATCTAGTGGAGGAGAGACCAAGGAAGCATCAGCTTAGCAAACTTACCTCCATGAACCCCAGGCTCTTGACACAATCCCACTGCTTAGCAGGAAAGCAGACGGACTGTGAATGATAATTCAGAACATACATATTAAAATGGGAAAAATTGAGAACAGGATGGTTTGTTACGGTAATAAAAATAGGACTGTTTAGAAAAAGACACTCTCAATACTGTTCCTAGTTGAACACAATGCCTTCTTCTCCATATGACATGTTTGAAAATGGACATTCTTAACAAGAAGTCACATCACATGTATGAATAAGGAGGAATGGAAAGTTTGAGATGTGAAAGCTTGAGAATGTAGAAGAGCTCAAAAGGAAAAAAGAGGAATAAAGTGAAGTTCTTAAGTGAACGCCTAAAGTCATCTTCGAAACCCTGTTTCGAAAGCATCACCTCCCAATGAAAGCCTCCTCTGCCTGTATAATGCTACTTATAAACATATGATCTCAAGGCTGACCAACTGGGTTTCTTTTTTAATTTTTATAATCTGAAAAAAAAACCACTTTGCAAAGGCAATTAGCATATCTCCATATATATATATCAGTACCCAATGCATGCTGACTAATAAAAATTCCAGAGACACAAGGCTGCCACTCCTTTTTCTTTGATCCAGCCTGAGTGCAGCTGTCTCAGAGGCTTCCAATCTGTAACTCTCATGACTGGAGAATGACCATCTCCCTGCCTGGCTAAAATGAACTTCTGTTTGTCCACAACCCAAGTTGTCTTGCTTGCAGCCCAGTCCAGGCTGAGATTGCGAACTGTACCACCAAGGTATGAATCACACACACTATGTGTTTCACTTGTGCTACCCATGCTGCATGGACATTTGTCTCTGCCAAGGACATTTGATGTCCTTACAGATAACTGCTATTTTATTTAACCCAAAGTCACTTTAGGGTTAGCTGTATATGCTCCTGATCCTATCAGTGCAATAAGTAAGACTTACAGAATTCCACTGCCATAAATTACAAATCAAAGGTTGAGGCAGAATCTGTAGAGGACTTTTATAAAATCACAGATGGATCAGGAGGGCACTGTAACTGGGCTAGTTAATTACAAGCCCCCTCCACAGCTTTTAAAATCAGCTTCCATGTTTGCTTCCACCAAGAGAATTAAACAGGACAGGACAGGACTATGCTCAGTAGAGAGGATGCTTGCCTGACAAGTGTGAGGCCTTAGCCTCCTTTGATGCACCTGACCTGTATCCCGAGCACTGAGGAGGATCAAAAGTTCACGATCATCCTCAGATACACAGAGTTTGAGCTCCCATCTTTAAAGTGTGTGTGTGTGTGGGGGGGAGATAGGTAGAAAAACAGCTTAGTAAATGTGGACCTTGGAGAAGGGTAGATAAAGATGAACATCTCATTGTTAAGAAAAGGCAAACTCCCAAGGTATGCAGAGAATAACAACAGGGGTTTCTTGCACACTCTATCCTACACACACAGTGCCTTAATTATCAGAGGACAAGGTAGTTGTAACATGAAGGGCAGTTTGTTGGGGTTTCTGTCCCACCCAGTACCCCACAGACAGCAAGTCCCAAAGAATATCACACAGAGTCTACACTAGGTTATAAACTGATTGGCCCGTTAGTACAGTCTTCTTATTAACTAACGCTTACATCTCACGGTAACCCATAATTCTTGTCTGTGTTAGCCATGTGGCTCAGTACCTTCTCCAGTGGGGCAGGTTACACCTTGCTTCACTGTAGTCTGGGCACGAATGGAGGAATGGGCTTCCTCCTTCCTAGCCTTCTCCTGTTCTCATTGCTCTGCCTCTACTTCCTGTCTGGTTGCCCCGCCTGTACTTCCTGCCTGGCCAGTGAGCATTTTATTAAAATACATGATTGATTGACAGACTACAGATAATTCTCCCGCACCACTTCCCTTCTGTAAAGCAAAGGACACTGTCAGTAAAACAAAAAGGCTGCCTTCTGACTGGGAGAAGATCTTCACCAACCCCTCATCAGACAAAGGTCTGATCTCCAAAATATACAAAGAACTCAAGAAACTAGACACTAAAACTCTAATTAACCCAATTAAAAAATGGGGTACTGAACTGAACAGAGAATTCACAACAGATGAACTTCGAATGGCAATCAGGGAAATGCAAATCCAAACAACTTTGAGATACCATCTTACAGCTGTCAGAATAGCTAAAGTCAAAAACACCAATGATAGCCTATGCTGGAGAGGATGTGGAGTGAGGGGAACACTCATCCATTGTTGGTGGGAATGCAAACTTGTGCAGCCACTGTGGAAATCAGTGTGGCGGTTTCTCAGGAAACTGGGAGTCAACCTCCCTCAGGACCCAGCAATTCCCCTCTTGGGAATATACCCAAGAGATGCCCAATCATACTACAAAAGTATTTGTTCAACTATGTTCATAGCTGCACTATTTGAAATAGCCAGAACATGGAAACAACCTAGGTGCCCCTCAATAGAAGAATGGTTAAAAAAGGTGTGGAACATATATACATTAGAGTTTTACTCGGCGGTAAAAAACAATGACATCTTGAATTTTGCATGCAAATGGATGGAAATAGAAAACGCTTTACTGAGTGAGGTAACCCAGACCAAAAAAGAGGAATATGGTATGTACTCACTCATAAGTGGTTTCTAGCTATAGTTAAAGGTCTTTGAGTCTAGAATTTGTGATCCTAGAGAAGTTAAATAAGAAGGTGAACCTGAAGAAAATCATATAGTTATCCTCCTGGATAGTGGAACTAGGCAAGATTGCCAGGCAAACTCGGGTGCATGGGGGGTGGGGGAGTGGTAGTAAGGGAAGATGGTCAGGGAGAGGGGAGAGGGGGAGGATTGGGGATGGCTTGGGGGAATGGGAGGGGGGGAGGGAGGAAGGATGGTTGTGGGAGCAGGGAGGTTTATATCTCAGCTAAGGGAGCCATTTTAGGGTTTGCAAGAGACTTGATTCTGGAGGGGTTCCCAGTAAAAATTAAATAAAAAAATAAAAAACTTAGAAAAAAATTAAAAAAAATAATAAAAAAAAAGAAAACGCTTTACTGAGTCAGGTAAGCCAGACTCAAAAAGAGGAATATGGTATGTATTCACTCATAAGTGGATTCTAGCCAGGATTCTAGAGTCCCAGGTAACCTCGGGTGCTTGGGGGAGTGGGAGGGTTGTTGGAAGGGGAGAGGGTTAGAGAGAAGGGAGCAGGGGAGGAATGGGGAATGCTCAGGGGGACTGGGGGGGTGGAGGGAGGAAGGATAGATATGGGATCAGGGAAGAATATATCTCAACTAAGGGAGTCAGTTTAGGGTTTACTAGAGACTTGATTATAAATGGGATCCCAGGTCCAAGGAGAGATCCCCAGATTGTTCTCTTGACAGAGGAGAGGGTGCCTGAACTGCCCTTGGCCCATAACCATACTGATGAATATTTTGTTTATCACCATAGATCCTTCATCTGGCGATGGATGGAGATGGAGATGGAGACCCACATTGGAACACTGGACTTAACTCCCTAGGTCCAGACGAGAAGCAGAAGGAAAGCGAACGTGAGCAAAGAAGGCAAGATCAGAGGGAACCTTCATCCGACGAGGGATGGCGATACAGATGGAGACCCACATTGCAGCACCAGACTCAGTCCTCAAAGGTTCAAATGAGAAGCAGAAGGAGGAAGAACATGAAAAAGAAAATCAGGACCACGAGGGGTGCGATCCCCCACTGATACAAGGGGACTGTTCTAATGAGAGTTCACCAAGGCCAGTTGTCTGGGACTGAGAGAGCACGTAATCCAGCCAGATTCTCTGAATGAGGCCAGATTCTCTGAATGTGGCTGGCCCGGAGTCTTTCTGAAAAGCCATTGACAATGACACTGGGACTTGTTTCCTCTGCATGTACTGGATTTTGGGGATCCAGTCTGTTTGGATGCTCACCTTCCTTGACCTGGAGATAGTGGGGAGGAGCTTGAACTACCCACAGGGCTGGAGACCCTGACTGCTATTGGGGATGGAGAGGGAGGAGGGGAGGGAGTGGGGGGAGTGGGAGGGTGTTGAGAGGAGGGGCAGAAATGGAGACTTTTGTATTTTAATAAACTTTGAGGGAAAAAAAAACAAAGGAAAATATCCATAGTCCATTTGTTGGGAATGTGGGCATAGTATTCCAGGCTTCTTCCTGCTGGTTGGGGCACTGATAATCATATGGGGACCTGAAGAGAATTTAGAGCTATATTCAAGTCCTGGCTGGAGTATCCTGTGAGTCTTGATCATCTCAGGCAGCAGTCTTGAATCTGTTCTGGATGTAGAACTCGGACATCTGAGCCATCTGTTCCTACCATAGATTTCTCAGGTGGTCTTCCTTAATCAAACTGGATTTTTCTTAACTCAGAATGAATTCACAGCCTTTCATTTTCTGTGGGGAAAAAAAGCAAAATCTCTTCCCCAATGTAGCACATCTCCTTGCTTCCTTTGAGAGGTCAGCATATCTTTGAAATAAACTGGTTGTTGATTAGAGAGTGGCTGTCCAATGTGGTAACTAACTCCACGTAAAACCTAAGAGGAATTTAAAAGGAATTTTAGACACAAATATAGAGTTTAACAGAGCTTTTTGCTGTTTGCTAGGACATGCTATAGAGAGATTTCCTGCTTCAGCAATAGCTGCAGAAAAAAAGCCGCGACATTTTTAAATGTGGCTTCCTGAGCTGTGCCTCCAGTGCAAACTCTGGCTTTAAAGCATTTCAATGGCTTTTATGAGACTGGATGTTTGTGTGCCTGCTCGGATTCGGGAAGAAAGTACTCTGAAACAATACCAATGGCTCAGGGCTCCCTGCCTGGGCAGACTGTGGAATGGGGCTTATGCAAGTGGGAGAGCATGGCGGATTCCTGCCGCCATACAGAGAGATGTTTCCAGGCTGTGCGGTGCTCTGCATGTCAGATTTGGCTGTAACTTGGATGGAAAGAGTTTCTGTGCTGCACGCTCAGTCTCAGAGTTAAACTGCTAAGTGCAG